TATAAATAAAATTAATCCCATGTGAATAGTAATTGCCCTTGAGTTGCCATGGCAATAGGCCCATCATCACTTGCCTCTTTCCTAGGCCCCACCCAACAAGCCACCACCCAAATAACACCAGCCACCTAGCAAGCACCATCTACCCACAACCCCAACATCACGAGCAAGACTTCCATGACATTGGAATAGTACTATTTTTCTACTCTTAGCCAATAACGCTATGACACGCGTGATAACACTTCCACGTGTCATTGCATTATTGGCCTGGGATAACAAAATAGTACTACCATTTTGCCCATGCGTTTAAAAGAAGAGTTAACAAAATTGATGGCATGACCATTTATCCTAATGCTACTAAAGTTGAAGGACCGCGAGAACGATTTTGGTAATTAAAGGACTCAAATGCAAATCGGGTCTAAGTTCAGGGACTAATAAAACGAATAACCATTTTTTCAAATTTACATAGTGGTTGGGGAAATAGGACAGAGGGTGGAAATAACAACACCCTACAAATTTAACCTACAAAACAGTGTACATCGAACATCGATCATAGTATATATCAACTTCTAAGCAAATAATTAACCAATTAACACACAATTAATGATTCCAAGAATACTTTCAAGAAGAGATGAGATGAGATGAGATGAATCGAAGAATATATATAACCCAAATTGGGCTAAATAAGTCTGCCAATGAATTAATTAAGGTCACGTACAGGTACAAATACAAAGCATATATCCAGAATCTGCTATGATAGGCGCCGTGGATGTTTCTCTTTTAGCTTAATTAATCAATTAATTAGGTCAAGCCAAAATTGTCAAGGCGTGGAGATCGGGGTGGGAGGTGGCCAGAAAATTTTCTCACTCCAAATGGAAAATCTATCCTCCTTCCTTCCTGCTTCTAGATTATAAAGACGCTTTCTAGTCCTAGAGATAGATAATAAGGTAAAGGACCAGATAGCCATTACGTCTAATTGAAGTCCTATGCTTCTACGTTACCTCTTATCTTCAACGTCTCATTTTGAGCCGCGATCAATGTTCAATTATATATATCTTATGAAGCCAAGCCACCATTTACGACCAATAGCAAAGCAACACTTTAATTAATTAGTTGAAAACTAATCCAAATTATAACATTTTAATACAATATATAATATTATAATATTATTTAACTCAAGTATAGTAACATGGATCTGAAAATATATTTTCATGCTACTCTACTTCTCTTTGTGCCTGTATACAACTCCAAGTCTCCTTATGCATCAGCGCTATGCCGTCTTTGCCACGTCCTATAACTGTGTCCTCTGTAGAAAATTTTCAGTCAACAAGCTTATAAAGTCGTGAAGTTTGGCTGTTTGGTAGTGGCATACAATTCAACCCATACAGTTCTAATTATCTTTCCAAAGGGTGTACTAGTAATTCCAACACCAATTGTTGACCGAAAAAAAAAACAAAAACGTAATTCCAACACCAACCTCCGCCCTATATATTTACAGGTACTAGTAATTCCAACACCAATTGTTGACCGAAAAAAAAAAAAAAAACGTAATTCCAACACCAACCTCCGCCCTATATATTTACATTCAAGCACCACCACTTCTCCAACACCTCCATTGACGACTTTAATTGTTAACTATCGCAGATCATAGAGATAAATATATTACAAATCATCACAAAATGGAGAAAGTGCTTGTGGGCAAAGTGCTTCTGACGATGATGATCGTCTGTGTGGTGGGCAGCGCTTCTGCGCAAAGTGCTTCTAACGTGAGAGCCACGTACAACCTGTACAATCCTCAGAATATCAACTGGGACTTGCGTACTGCGAGTGTCTACTGCGCAACATGGGATGCTGACAAGCCATTGTCATGGCGCAGCAAATATGGATGGACTGCCTTCTGCGGACCCGTTGGCCCTACCGGACAAGATTCTTGTGGGAAGTGCTTACTGGTAATTAATCATTAGTACTAATTAGTTTTGTTGATCATCTTCTAATTATCTTTCAGTAAACATAATTAATTAGTACATACATTAATTTCTGCAATTTATATTTGTTAATCGAGGTATATTTATATATGTAAAATTGATATTATATGCAGGTGACGAACACGGCCACAGGAGCGAAAGTGACAGTGAGGATTGTGGATCAGTGCAGCAATGGAGGGTTAGATTTGGACGTGAATGTGTTTAACCAGATAGACACAAATGGACAAGGCAATGCCCAAGGCCACCTTACTGTCAACTACGACTTTGTTGACTGTGGCGACTAAACCTTAAACTTTAAGCTCTAAACCTTCAACCAATAAATAAGTTTCAATGTTGTAGATGAAATAAGTTCAAAGTGGGATCGCTTCTTGGATTATAACAAGAAGTACTGTTATTGTTGACTGTAAACTTGAAGCTTCTGGAATAAATGATCATATGCATTAAGAATTACCCCTCATTTTCAAGCTGTCTCTTGTGTTTGGGTAGTGTACGTAACAGGCCTGGTCATATCTTCACCTAATTCTTGATGATCTAGTTTGGTCTTCTCAATTAATTGGACTTCATCTGCCTGATGAGCTTGTACGTGGGCATTCTTTTTTGAAAGAGCTTTCCAATTGAAAATGACGATAACATACTAAATTTACATACACTACATAAATGCTAGGACTCGAATCCAGCACTTTTTCTACTGTACATGGCACTCTTTAAGTTCCAAAGGACTAGTTTGTTCTTAGGTCTTTGGGATTTGGGCTTTGTTCTTAGGTCTTTGGGCTTTGGGCTTTGGGACCGATTTAACCAAAAGAACGAAAGAAAAGCAAAATGGGCAGACTTCAACTGAAACAAATATATCCACTATGATTTACTAACCGATTAATTGACGACATTTCATCAATTGATTGGGTATATATTGAATAACGTAACACTAATTTCGCATCAGGTAAATTTTTATACAATTGCATGTGTAAATTTTCCATCAAAATATGGTTAAAGCCCAAAGTAATAAAAAACAAAATATAGAATTCATCACTTACCAAATAATCTTCTTCTGGAAGAGAAACAAAAAATACACATTTTTTTTTTTACACAACGGCGGTAGTGTTTTATTAATGAGGAGAAGGAGTAACAGCTACAAAAAAACCAAACTATGTCCTAGAGGATTAGATGAGTACTCTACACTAAACGAAGCATAGTGGTCATCGATCTACCGAAGTAGCCTACCTTCTGATTGATTTATAAAATCATATCTCCAAGGATATAAAATGAACGCCCAAATATACTCCGACTTAATTACCAAAAATATGGAATTGCAGAGATTGTGAAGCATAGGAAATAGCTAGCAGATCGAAAATTCTTCATCCTTCAGCCGTAAAATACAAAATAGATGGAATGTGTACAAAACAGTGCTTTTCTTGCTCTTTTGGCAGCCAAGCAAAGAGGGCTATGTGTTAACTAGCTACCAGCGGGGCTTACCTTCAGTATCCCAACTACGTGGAACAAAGTGCGCATTCCCTCTGGCTTGGGATGAACGGTTAGCAGCAAAAGGTGAATAATGCTTCGAGGAGTCCTGATGGCCTCTACCGCGGCACTGACCATGTTGCCAAGCATGGTTTGTGTCAGGTGTGAAGCCATTTCTAGACGGCCAGAAAACATTGTTTGCTGACTGAACTCTTCCATTAGGCCTCCAGCCCTGGCTTGATGACGACTTCGATATTTGCAAATCTCTAAGGGTTCGTATTTGATCTCCTGAACCAGAACCAGCAACTCTCCACTTTTCATTACAAACAGGTGTCTCATGAAGAGCGGCTTTTTTGTATGCTACTGCACCGTTCGCTGAATATGAGCCAGATGACATTACTCTTTCACAATGTATTCTTCCTGGAGCATGAAATCGGTCTCCAAAATCAGGACTTGCAATTGCTTTCCCTCTACCATAACCCCATCCAGTGCCAGAAAATTTGTGTATCATATTCGGAGAGCTAGAAGTGAATCTAGCATTGTTCCGGAAGCCTTGATTTCCCATATTATCTGGTTTTCTAAACCTTTCCTGAACAAGCTGACTGCTGCATTGCATTTAGTTCTTGAACAATGAGTTTAAAGAGAAATTCGTAGATATAGATGTGAATAACAAATGAAAGACAGAGCAAGAAGCCAAAGAACCTAGAGCTGGGTGTGCTTCCCTGATATTCGTGCCATAGTTTTGTCTCCATAAGATCGTCTTCAGTGATTGTCTGCATATGTAGATGGAAAATGTTACAAATTGGGCTTAATTATAACATGCCACTGAATTTCTCTTATGCTAGTTGAAGGATAGTATATTAGGGAGTGAGGACATTTAACTATTGAACTCGAAAATGCATCCCAACAATGTAGTTAGAATGCCAAGAACTCATTAAGCCAGTGCTAGCAAGGAACTAATCATATCCGCAGTGGCAGAGCAGGTAAACCATCACATTAAACAAATACGAAAACAAACGTATATGCACAAGACCATTCAAGCTGATGAAAATAATTGCAAATTCTGAAAGTTCGGATACCTTGACAGGAAACTCTACACCAGCAAGTAAACGAGGCACATGTGGACCATCGTTTGGAAGCTCATATCCCACGCATCTGTAACATAATCAAATTCATAAAACTTATCCTTCAGGACAGCAAAACATTTACAAGATCAAAATTAACAACTCGTTAGTTTGGTTACTCACAAGACAGAGTCTTCTTGAAGTTTATGATCTCCTCCTTTAACACTGGAAGCATTCTCATGAAGACGTAAAAAACCACTAATTCCAGAACCGAAAGGGGGCAGAGAACTTATCAATAAACATTAACATTTAGAAAATACTGCAAAAGCGGTCCATGAAAGAAAAAATAAAAAGGCAAAGTAACAAAGACAAGAGTTTAGAAAGATAATTGACCTACCACAAACTGTTGTCAATCTTGATGGGGCAGTTTTCCTTTGTAAACAGTGCGACAATCTGTGATGCCATATTGTGTGTGCTTAGCACAAATAAGTGATCAACTTTCTCTTTATTCCTGTCTCTGTCTTCCCCCTACGCATATTGTAACACAAACTGATAAGACAATTTAAATATAAGAATGGAAAAACATCTCATATCTTTAAGAAATTAAAATATATAAAAAAGTTTCATACCACCAACTCCTTCTCTAACTTTCTCGTTTCAGATAGAAGCCGTTCTTCTTCTATAAAAGGAAGTTTGCAAATGCCCTTTTGGAGATGATAAAGTCAAAAACAATTTTAGAATGTAAAAGAGAGAACAATCACTAGATGTGAACGAAAATGCAACACCAATGAATAACTACCAGAAATCATACAAGGAAAGAAGAGAAGACAAACCTGCCATGTAAAGCGTTTTCCATCCATATCAATTTCAAAATCTATAGATGAAACAGAGCTTGCAATTAATTTCTATCAGATCCCATGGACTAACATAACTGATATTACACAATGTGTACTTACCAGAAGGGTAAAAGTCAATAATGGTAGAACTCTCATCTGTCATAAGTGTCTGATAAACTTTCGGAAGTGCATGAGCACTACAAAGAAGAACGAATGTATTATTTTCTTGGAGAACTTGGTAAGACCAAACTTACAAAACAAAGAAACATAGTTACCTTCTGGGTGGTAACACAGCCATGAGAGTATCGATAGGTAAGAATGGGGAACCTTTTTCAAACTTAGGTTTCACCTGACCAAGGCCCTTTAGGTCGGAAGCAAATGGCGCATAGTGGAAAGGATAAAACCTGATAGGATATTACAGTGAATGTAATGTAACACTACTTTTCATACCAATATCAAGTAAATAACTGAAGTCCATATTACATATGACTTACCATGTCCATGATGGGGGACCCGAAAAATAGTAGAAGAGAACCCAGAGCAGTCCTTCAGTGTAGTATTTAACCTAAAGTACATCAGCAATTGGAATTTGCAAATAAGGGGAAATCTAAAATTACATAAATAAATAAAATCTGTTAAATACACAAGTAGAAAATGTACTACCAAAACCCTAAAACCCTATTGGAATAACACAAGATTGCATCTAATTTTGTGTAGGGTTTGCAAGCAATCAACCAAACAATTTATCAAAATTCAGTAAGATGAATAGTTTTGGTGCGGTCTTTGGCCCTCCATTTTACAAAGAAAAAAGTGCAGCTTCTGTAAGAAACAAAAAAGAAGAACATCATGTGGACTAAAGAAGTATAAGATAAAATTTATGAAAGCCACACGTACTACTTCCTTTCTTTTGCTTTCAATATCCCCTGGCCCTTCTGCAGAAAATTTGTATTTGTAATATCTTGCCTTGTAGCCTGCAGCAGCATATCGTACCTGTGGAAGAAATCAGCAAAGCATGTAAAAATATTTGTTTATATGCTTGGATGTAAACGTTTCACAAGGTATTACGAGAAAGAATATTGAAACTTCAAGAAGGGAATGCTTCATACTTTGTCTGTCCCTAAATCACCATTCTTAAACAGATCAGATTTCCTTCTGATGCTATCTTTCAATTTCTGCTTAAACTCCTTTGTATTTTCTATTATCTGCAAAAATTAAATATAAATGACACCAAAACCCCTTCAGCAGGTCACAAAGTACATGGTAAAACTACTTTATTCCATATATATATATATGTGTGTGTGTGTGTGTGTGTGTGTGTAATCAAGCAAAATAACCTGCAGATACTCCCTGCCCCACTCCCGAAAACAAAAAAGAAAAGTAACAATGGAGTGTTTGATAATGGAATCTTCAATTTAAAGCACATAGACAAAGGAAAACTAAATTCATTTCCATGAAGAATAATGATTGATAAGATGACTCCGATGAGTTGCTAGAAGAATTTAAAGTATAAGCCTATCTTGAAATTCTTCTAGAAACTCGGAGTCATCTTATGAATCATTATTCATCATGGAATACAAAAGAAAACACACACAAACAACAGCGTACTTGAGAATGCATATTTTCAAACATCCCAAATGACGGAGCTTCGGATTCTTCTCCATTAGGCAATGCACAAGTACTGCTTGAATCAGTAGCTGAACTTCCAGCATCAATTTCTTCCTCTAGCTGGCAACCAATTAATTCAGCATTTGTTTCATAATGGGAAAAATAGACAAATACACGCAATATTGTCAGTGATGAATGATACTTGAGCAACAAGCACTTACAGAATCTTTATTAAGGCAAAGACGTCTGAGTTTACGCTCACGTAGTTCTGATCTTTTCTTGAAAATTTTATCTTCATAAGCACCAACAAGAAGAATAAATTTCTCAACCCTGGATAGTTTGATGAATCCTGATTTCTTGTCATTGACCTGCTTTTGAGCATAAAAGAATTGGCATGGTCATGATCTTATCTACATTTTTTTTTCAGGTGAAGAAATGCAACTGAAACAAGGCTAATCATGTTATACCCGGAGCATATCAACCATATAACCCCCGAGATTTTTGAATTCCTTCTTATAGATAGTCATCAGCAAGTCAATTGCATTCTGGAAATGAGTAGTTATCACAAAAAATTAGTCTTGAGTTGAGCTTCATACATTGTATTCCCATCACTACATATCAATGAAGTTTAGCGTAGAACCTCATGAATTTCCAAAGTTGGCATGTGGGGCAGAAAATCATTTCCAGCAAAAAAGCACATAAATATAAAATCATCAATTATACACTCAAGATCAAACTTGAAATTCTCAGGAGGATCATTGATTTGCATATCAAGCTCCAAATATTCCCTCAAAATCCAAACATGCAGAAGCTGAAATTTGGAAGGAAAAATAGAGGTGAGACAACAGAGCAATATTCAAACTACAGGTGATGGATAAGAGGACTATTTCAAATACCTGGTAGGGCTTTTTTACAATGGATGCTTTTCTGTTGCCTGACTTTACAGAAGACGGAGTCATTTCTCGAACAGATTGACAGTTTGCATGTTGCTGCTCCTGGTTTAGAACATCCTGTATCCAGAAATTGAAGTACTTAAAATTTCATCAGTTATCAGAACCTACAACCCGGATTAGTATAAGGAAAGATTTTATAACCCGGATTTTGGTTCCTAGTGCATTAGCTAGGCAGACCTCACTCAATTGGGGTATTGATTATTGGAAACCTTAAAAGCCAATGTGACCAAGAAACCACCAAGGAAACTTCTATATGAAATTTGAAAAATGCAAAGGACTTGTAAAACCTCTCTCAATATGGAAAAATGAACTTCATGTGTTGCCAAAGCCAACATTATCAAATCTGCATCCTGCATGCCAATAATTCACCACAATGTCAGAATTCAATTGTGTGT